ACTCTTGAGGCCTCAATTGCTCAGGTTCGACAGTCAGTTGCTTCTCACCAAGCCACCATTTCTGTCCTTGAAAACTTACGTGATGCTCAGCTCATGGAAATTGCTCGCATAGAGGATATATACGCCCAGATTTTGGACGACACTGGTGCTACTTCTTCTGGTTCAGGTTCTGAAGACGAAGATGATGGTTCGGACTCGGGCACCCCGTCTGCACGGTAAAACTAATCCACTATTATGATGTTCACCATCCTTTGTCATTTATTTTGCAAAAAGGGAGAGTTTTTGGAGTAAGGGGGAGTATTTGTCAATGGTATATTTTTGGAAATTTCTGTTATCTTTATGGAAATAATGGGATTATTATGGAGTATTCGTCAATGGTATATTTTTGGAAGTTTCTGTTAACTTTTATGGAAATATAATAGGATTATTATGTTAGGGGGAGTAGTAGTTCTTTTGGTGCTCTTGATGACATTTTGTATGGCATGTTTTTTGAGCTACTACTCACATGAACAAGTTGAATTATGATATGGTTTGCTGCGTATTTGATCCTACTGTGTGTGATCCACGGCTTGAAGATATTTAATCAGGTATACGATTCACAAATGGTCCAAAAAGGAATTAAGTTTAAAATTTTGTTGTTATTATACCTTTTGTCTTGTTCAGTACCTATACGGGCTATTAATAAAACTAAATTGATTCTCAATTTTTGCCCAAAGTATTTGGTACTTAAGTTTTACCAAATAAAATGTCAAAGAGGGAGATTATAAGTGTAAAATTATTTACACATTAAACCTATTGGCCGACTATTTTATTTAGTAATAGCTTTATTAGTTTTTAATTAAGAAATTAATTAGAGTTGTTAGAATTAATTCTCTTTTGGACCATGTGATGCCTAATGAGTGGATAGTATGCATTGGAGAATGAAGTCAGCCAACGTATGAAGCTTTCAAAGAAAGAAAAAAAGAGTGTGGCTATGATCTATTCGAACAAAGGAAAAGCTAAATTTAAGGATCACAAATGAGGCTTAATATTTACTATAAAAGGAAGCTGTTCGAAAGAGGAAGATTGCCAATTCCGAGATCAATATTTCGAGAGCACTTTTTATTACAAAGCTTCCTGATTTAATCTGCTATGTTATTTAATTGTTAAGAACATTCAATCTGTAATTCATGACCTGTACGAGGTACTGCTGAAGCATCTTGTAAAGATTGTTCAGGCATTCGTGTGTCAGTCCTGGATAGGTGTTAGAAAGAGTGGACGCACACGGAAATGCATATATAAACTTGCACAAATTTTGGTAATCAAATAAATTTTGTAACTTCTTCCAAAAAACAAATTTTTGAAACCAAAAATAATTTTGATACCAATTTTGAAAAGGTTTTTTGTAAGCCAATTAAAATAATACAAATTAAACACATATAACACATGCAATTCACTTAACAAATATTTATCATGATACAAATAATTTAATTTAGTCAAGAAGCAGTTTAGGCATGTAAATAAATCATTCATGAAGATTAATACACATACGAAAATTTACTTGAATTCCAAGTAACAAATTAAACTCACATGCGATTAATCTCAAGATTTCTGAAAATTGCACATTTATCAAATTAATTTTGCATTACACATAATTACACGTAAAATATACGCAACTATAAAAACAAATAAATAGCACATATTGCAAAATTATTCACGTAATTTTCAAACAAAAACATGAACACAAAGTGCTAAATAAATTAAATTGAGTGCAAGTATCAATTTAGAATAAAGTGATTAAGTCCAGTGATACTTCCCTCAATTTGATCATTCCCAATTCATGCCTTAACGTAGCAAATCTCGTTTTGCATAAAGGCTTTGTGAGAATGTCTGCAACTTGATTCTCCGTAGGGATATACTCAATTTTTAGATCTTTCTTTTCAACATGATCCCTTATGAAGTGATGTCGAATGTCGATGTGTTTGGTTCTTGAGTGAAGCACCGGATTGTGAGTAATTGCAATTGCACTAGTATTGTCACAATATATACTAACATCATCATAATTTACTCCATAATCCTTTAATTGTTGCTTCATCCAAAATATTTGCGCACAACAACACCCTGTGGCAATGTATTCGGCCTCATCGGTACTAGTTGCGATGGAATTTTGCTTTTTGTTAAACCAAGAAACAAACCTTCCCCCCAAGAATTGGCATGTCCCGGAAGTGCTTTTTCTGTCTATTTTACAGCCTGCAAAATCCGCATCTGAAAAACCTGTTAGGGTAAAATCTGTACCTTTAGGATACCATAATCCTACATTGATCGTTCCATTCAAATAACTTATTATTTTCTTGGTTGCGGTGAGGTGGCTTTCTTTTGGATTTGCTTGGAATCCCGCACACACTCCCACAACATAAGATATGTCCGGCCGGCTTGCAGTGAGGTATACAAGTGAACCAATCATTCATCTATATTTCGTTTGATCGCCATCCTTTCCATTTTCGCCTTTGTCTAGCCTTAATGATGTACTCATTGGAATCTTGATTGATGATTTTTCCCTAAGGACAAACTTATTGATTAAGTAGCGGGTGTACTTGGCTTGGTTGATGATGATTCCTTCTTTCATTTGTTTAACATGTAAGCCCAAGAAGTAGTTTAGTTCACCCATCATGCTCATATCGAATCTATTCTGCATAAGCTTTGAAAATTTATCACACAAAGAATTGTTATTGCTTCCAAATATAATATCATCGACATATATTTGCACTAATAAAATATGTTCACCATCTTGAATTCTAAATAGAGTTTTGTCAACTTGGCCTTTGATGAATCCAGAGCTTATCAAGAACATTGACAAGGTATCATACCAAGCTCTCGGTGCTTGTTTTAACCCATACAATACCATTTTAAGTTTGTAGACTTTGTCACCTTCGCCTTTTACCTAAAAACCTGGGGGTTGTTCGACATAAACTTCTTCTTCAAGTAATCTGTTCAAGAATGCTCTCTTGACGTCCATTTGGTAGACGGTGAAGTCCTTGTGTGCGGCATAAGCTAGGAAAATTCTTATTGTTTTGAGTCTTGCGACGGGTGCGAAGGTTTCATCAAAATCTATTCCTTCCTCTTGCGAATATCCCTTTGCAACGAGCCTTGCTTTATTCCTAATAATTGTGCCGTCTTTGTTGGCTTTTTTCCGAAAGACCCTTTTTGTTCCTACAACATTGTGGTTCGTTGGTCTTGGAACAAGTTCCCAAACGTCATTTCGCTTGAATTGATCGAGCTCCTCATGCATGGCGTCAATCCAACTCCGATCGCTTAATGCATCGTCCACTTCCTTTGGTTCGATTTGAGATAAATAACACATAAACAATGCTTCAAAGGTAGAGGATCTTTTCTTCACGCCATCACGTACATTTCCAATAATTAATTCTGGAGGGTGATTTCTAAGCCATTTCAAATCCTGTTCAAAAAGGGTGCATGATACTGGATGGGTTCGGTGGTTGAAAATTGGAGGGGTTGATTCGAATTTCATCATCAATTCCTTCGTCTCCAACTTGATCTCCAACTGGATCTCCAACCTCATCTCTAATTGGATCTCCAAACTCATCTCTATTAATATTAAAATTAATTGTATCTCCAGCACTTTCTGGATGAGATATGAGATTTTCTAGAGAATTGGTTTCCATCTCATCTTAAACCCTGCAAAATATTATCTTCACACGTATCATTAGTATCACAAAAATCAATTTGACACATGTTACCATTTTGCATGTCTTCCACGTCCATTGCAATATTTTTGACGTGCGATTTTTCATCAAACACCATGTGTATGGACTCTTCAACTACCATTGTTATTTTGTTTAATACTCTGAATGTTTTGTTGGTAGTCGAATATCCTAGAAAAATTCCTTCATCTGCACGCTCATCGAAAAGCTTTTAGATGCAATTTATCATTAATGTGAATAAAACATTTGCATCCAAAAGAGTTAATACCCATATTGGTCCCTTTACTATTAGGTAATGCGCAATTCAGTCCCAAACTATTAAAAGTACCAAATTTACTCCTCTAAGTATTAAAATCATACATAATTTGGTCCTCTGTTATAATTCCATCCATCCACCGTTATAAAGAGGGGCAAAAACGTCATTTATCTAAAGTCGAGGGACCAAAATGGGTATTAGCTATTATTATCTAATAGTCGAGGGACCAAAATGGGTATTAACTTATTATTATTATTATTATTATTATTATTATTATTATTATTATTATTATTATTATTATTATTATTGTATGTATATTTATAAAAAAAAATATATTACTGTAGAGCCATTTCTACTCATTGAATAACAAGAGTCTTTTGTTTTGTTTTTTTTTTTTTTGAGAAACCAATACATCTATGCATTCAAAGGTGATTAGAAGTCATAAGACAAAATAGGTCATTTTGTGCACATTGCACTTTCTGTTCATGAAATGAAAAACTAACCTTTATATGTAACGTTTATCCGTTACTATTATTATAACATTATGATAAGTTATGATAATATTCAGTATTTGATATGTGGTGCAACACTAATAACCTAATAGCTAGACTACCATTATGATTAGGAGTCTAGTTAGGGTTTAGGAGACCTAAAGACAATCAACCACAATGATGGCCAGTGGTTATATAAGGTCACTATTCCTCTCACTGCTCACATTACATACCTCATACACCATCCAGAGAGAGCTGAGTAAAGTGAGAGACAAAATAGTCATTATCTCTGCAGCAGTCCGGATCGCTCAACCGTATCAAGAACTATGGCTGGAGGTTAGTCAATCCTATTATCACATATTATAATGATGCATGTGATATTTTAGTCTAACGTTATATACTTGAAATGCATTATCTAGACTGTGAATTATAAATGATGCCATGAAAAGAGATTACTCTCAGAGAAGAGACTTACATTAACGCGGGACACTTAGACAAGTCACCCTCGCAAATGCTCTCCTCTGATCATTCATTTCAATTCTTAAATTGCATCTACACATTCATCTCATCATCCATGTGAGAAGCCTCTGATCCTTGATACATACTAACATCAACAAAAGAGAGTTCATCATTCTCAACAATGAGTCTAGCACTGACTTCCTTCATGTCAACATCCTGATGCTTCTTGTCTTCTTTCTCTTGCAAATCCCTGTCACTCTTCTTGTGCTTGCTTTCTGCAACGATTTGCCACTGCTTCTCCATTACAACGATTTCAACATTGTTATCTACAGTTTCACTATCAGATTCATTTGCCACTGCTTCTCCATTATTCTGCCTCTCAAGACTCTGCAATCCCCTCCTCAGATCACCCAACTCTCTCTCTATCAAGAACAAACTCTCCTTGAGAATTAAGTTCTCCAAAACGTTGTTGTAGTCTGCACTATGGTTTGGATAAATCATCTCAAAACAGCTCAAGTCATGGTCCAACCTTCTTTCTATCTCAACATGTTCCTCCACATCACTCTCACTAGACTCTCCATCCTCTTCATCCTCATGTTCATGGGGTTCTAACTCCTCACCAGGAGATCTCAGTCTAATCAAACCCTTCATTGATCCATATCCATCCAATCCCCACTCCTCCTTAGCCATATCCACCACAACTTCCCTTGATGGGGAGAAATTAGGTGTTGGAAGCACAGCCGGTGTCACAGGATATGGGGAGACTAATGAAGCAATCCCACCACTCTTCTTTGCCCTGATAATAAATGATGTTGTATTCCGAGGAGAAAATGATGCATCCCTATTGTTGTTATTATTATTATTCAAATTATGAAACTTCTATTTAGGGAAAAATCTCCGGGTCTTCTTTTTAGTACCGATGAGCATCGACTTCTCATTCCTTTGCCTCCATCCATTCTCTTGTCAATCTTATTCATTTTCTTACCCTTCCAATTACTCCGTGGTCGCAGTGGTTTCGATTGCTTCCCCTGAGGCGGAGGCGGCGGCGCCTGTGGCCACATCCCGTAGCTACGGTTCATCACCGGCGGCTGCTGTAACTGCGGATGCGAATTCATCCCCATCATTTGGCTCTGGCTCATACTCATCATCTGCTGCTGTTGCTGTTGATTCATCATCCATGCAGATTGCTCATTCATCTCTATGCAGAGAACAATTTGAAAATTTTGAGAAATTTTCCGCAGCTTTTATGTTTACCGAATTGAAACAGAAATAAGAAGAAAATTCTTCCGACAGATTTTCTTGAGGTATTTAATTTCGCTTGGAATTCACGTGAGATTTCCTGTGTGCGTCGGCAAATGATAAGCGGATGCCAAGTTTAATTTTTAAATTAGAGCCTTAGGGATCCTTTTATAGGAGCCTCAAGGTTCCCATACCACATTTCCCACTCCATGTAGGAAAAGTGACAAAATTATATGTTTTATTTTTTTTTATTTTATTTCTTTTATTAATTTATTATTTTTATTTTTTTAATACAATTATTATTATTATTATTATTATTATTATTATTATTATTATTATTAGATGTATACCCTTAGGTCAAATCCGCTAATATAATCCGTTAACTTATTGAAATCGTGAACTTCTTGAATATAAATTATGTTTCTAAGGCAAAGCACATAACAACTGTAGAAGGGAATTTGTGAATAAAATACATGATAATCAAATCTTAATTTGTTAGTATTGTGTGACAACAGTATTTGAAAGGAACTTGTGAATACAAAAGGTAATCAATTACATATATGCAGTGGCGGAGCCAGGATTTACGTTGAGTGGGGGCGAAAACGCAAAAGTAAAATGAATTAAAAAATGTTCAAATACGAATAAATTTGTTAAACAACAATATGCTAACAAACGTTAAATAATTATCCCAAATAAACAACTATACTAACTAACATTAACGATTTTTTAGCAAATATATTCGTCCAGGATTTGAACTGCTGACCTTTCACTCAAATTATAAGGTTAAATAATGGCCTAACCATTTCAGCCAAGCCTAACTATACTTAATTGTTGGTATGCTTAATATATATTCAGTTTATCTGGAATAGGGCAGTGGGGGCAGTAGCCCCCACTGGCCCCATTGTGGCTCCGCCACTGCATATATGTTAAAATTGTATGTTCATAGTATATATACAAATTGTGAAATTTTAAAAGATAAATTATGAACATTTAGTATGTAAATTGTGAACATTTGGACTCGGATCCACAGAATAATTTGTCTTGACTACAACTTCATTGGACAATTTATATCATATTGTCACATGTTTCACGCCCTTTTCTTTCTCTGAAAAGCCTAGGCGTTAAATTATAGTTTGAGAATATAACAGAAATTAGCGGTGAACTAACAGAAATTAATGGAAAACATAATATTTAACGGACAGGTTAACGGATAATCATATTCATTAAGGATAATTTAGAAAATCTCAATCAAAAATTAAAATATGATCAATCTGAGCCATTAATTTGATTAAAAAATTTGACCGCCATTTTTTCTACCGATTATAGGCTCCAGAAACTTATATTTTCTGTTGGAGTTATCAGTTACGTGATATGTAGTAGTTTCTATTTTGTTTTTTTTTTTTTTTTTCCTTTTTTGGATAACTATCCTAGATTTCAGGATTCTATAAGACAAGTATCATCCAACATATTCCTTGATCTCCAAGATAACTTCATATTTCTTCGTATGAGATTTTCTTCTTCTTTTAGTTTGGGGTGTGGGGGCTATTTAAGTATACATATCATATGCATACATTTTCCTCTCCTTCTACTTCTTTGTATTTTTTGTATTTTTCCCTTTATCTATTTTTGTTAATTTTCCTTTCATGTTCTATGACAAACCTAGACTAAACAAATAAAATTGGGGATTGTAAAATATATTTTGGCATATCAAAATCTATTACAATATATTCTTAACAATTTGGTGTTGTAAACAGTAGAACCTTGTTTGCCACTCAGCAGCTGTCACAGTTTCTGGAAAAAAAACCCACTCATCTACATTTTCAAGCAGCTCACAAAGTCCTAAGATACATTAAAAGTGCCCCTGGTTAAGGTCTCTTCTTTCCAGCTTCATCTAAGCTGCAGTTGAAGGCCTTCACTGACTCAGATTGGGGAGCATGTGTAGATATTAGGAGATTCCTTGTACATTGCAAAATGATTGAATCATACTGTTTACAAACTCGGTTCCACGATCGGTTCGTATTTTTGATATCTTCATATCCTTCTCGTTTTGTAGTTGCTTTAAAAGCTTAGGTATCACTTGCTCAACTTTGTTCTTCTTCTTGATAAACACGATCCAAGTGTACCTAGAAAAATCATCAACAACAACGAGTGTATATTTCTTACCACTTACACTTATTGGATCAACTAGTCCAAATAAGTTCATGTGTAGCAAGCTTAGCGGTCTTAACGTTGACTCGTGCGTCTTTGATTTGAACGACGATTTAATTTGTTTTCCACGTTGGCATACGTCGCACACTTGGTCCTTCTTGAAGACAATATCTGGTAGACCTTCAACAAGATTTTTCTTTGCAAGTTCATTAATTGTCTTGAAGATTAGATGGTTGAGCTTCCTGTGTCATTCCCAATTTGCTTCATTCGAATTTCTGGTCATTAAGCATACAGACTCTATGCTTGTGCTCCAGTCAACAACATACATATTTTCTTCCTTGCTCCAGTGACTACTACTTCTTTTGTTGTCTCATTTTTTATTAGGCATTTATCTTTGGAAAATTCCACAAGATAGCCTTTATCACAAAATTGACTAGTACTCAGTAAGTTGAACTTCAATCCTTTCATGTACGATACATCTTCAATTCTTATTCCATTTCTTTCAATCGTACCAACTCCTTTGGTAATTCCATGATTTTGATTTCCTCCAAAGATCACTTTTAGTCCATCGATTTTCTTCAAATTCACTAGATATGATTTATTTCTCGTCATGTGGCGAGAGTAGCCACTATCGATGTACAAAGTATCCTACAAAAAAAGATTAATTGTTTTTAGGTACCCATACTTGCTTGTGTCCTTTGTTGTTAGTGATTTTTGGTAACCAAACCCACCTAGATCCTATTAAATTAAGATAAGGAGGTTTTTAACCATTTGATACTTGATAATCAAAATTGACTCTGGAAAATACTTTTGGTGCCCGGTTTTGAAAATCATTTTTGTACTTTGGCACCTGGGAAGTAGATCGTTGTTTTAACCTATGAAAGACATTAAACTTGGATTTATTCCATGGTTTAATTTCACACAACCAATCTTGCTCGGTGGGATATAATCTCCCAGCCCCAATCCTTGGAAAACTCCCCCTATTTCCTATGAGGTCTTTTTGCACTTAACTCATTGGCATATCTATTTTGCTTATTGAATTTTTATTGCTTAGCCGTGATATTATGGTGATTCGGCCTTCCAACATTCATTTTCGTATTTCTTTGATATCCAAGTCCTCAATTCATAGTGCTTTCCTGACTTTTTACAAATTTTACTACTTGTACTTTATTATTTAAAGTAGCAGTAAGATTAGTCAGTTTTGGAGGGGTTTGAGAACATGTGGAGTCATAACCAAGTCCGGTTTTTATCTCCTGATGGCTTTTGCATGCTTACCATTTTATCCATGATTTTGGACGAATTGGTAAACGTAGCAATGGTAGCCTAAAGGTTATGTTCTCTAACCTCTCTTGCTTTACACTCTTCTTGAAGACGAATATTTTCACTCTTCAAGTTACTCATTTCAAGTAAAGCATTTTGTAATTTTTTATTCATCTCTTCTTTTTCAAGAATTAGAATATTGTTGCGCTCCTTGATTTGAGAGTGAGTGGACAAGATCTCTTGACAATCTCGCATTAGACTATCAATAGATTCACGAGAAAAGTAAGAGCTAACGGAATTAAAAGAATTTGATGTTACCTCTTCTTCCTCTACTCCAAGAGCCATAAGACATTCTTCACTTGTACTCAACTCATTTGTCTTGCTTACAAGACATACTAGTGTCGTATCTTCTTCGGAACTTGAGCTTTCGTCGCTTGATGATGATTCGTCGGACTCATCATCTTCATTCGGTTCATTGCTCATGAGAGCCTTTCTTTTGTCGCGTTTGAATCTCCGATTTTTGCTATCGAACTTATATGATGTAGATTCAACGTTTTTGCCTTGATATTAGCTATCGGTAGGATACGGATATTTTATTTTAAAATGTCCCGGTTTGCGGCAGTTGTAGCATAGATCCTTAGTTTCTTTATCTTTTTCTTCATTTGGCTTCAGTACGACATTTTGGTTTCCACGAGAAATTTTGATTTCTTTGTGATGAATATTTGTTGTCTCCTATTCGCATGAATTTCCTAAATTTCATAACAAAAAGAGCAAACTCTTAATCAGTCATAAAATCAATATTATTTACTGACCTGGAGGTTGATGGTTGTTCGGCCAAAAGAGCTGAATTTTGAACTTCATGTTCTTCATCATTTTTGGCTTTCATCTCGAACTCATATGCCTTGAGATCACTAAATAGCTTATTGGTTGATAGCATTCGTAGGTCTCTATGATCTCGCATGGCGGTGACTTTCATGTCCCATGTAGATGGCAACCTCATAGAATTTTGAGATTAATTATTTCTTTTTGGCTAATTTCTTTGCCAAGATCATTAATCTCTCCAAGAATTTTGATCATTCTTGTTTCCATATCAACAATGCTTTCATTTGATAGCATTTTGAAGTCTTCGAACTTCCTCATGGTGATAGTGAGCTTGATATCCTTTTCTTGTTCATCGCCTTCACCGATTTTGATGAGAGTATCTCAAATTTCTTTAACACTTGTGCATTTTTGAATTTTTGGTCT